TGGGAGGGACTGGGAGGGCACTGGGACCTGTCCAGGTGTGCAGGGTGGGGCTGGAGACCCTCGGCAGGTACCAGGTGAGCACGAACTGGGGGCACTGGGAGGGACTGGGAGGGCACTGGGACCTGTCCAGGTGTGCAGGGTGGGGCTGGAGACCCTCGGCAGGTACCAGGTGAGCGTGAACTGGGAGAACTGGGGGCACTGGGAGGGACTGGGAGGGCACTGGGACCTGTCCAGGTGTGCAGGGTGGGGCTGGAGACCCTCGGCAGGTACCAGGTGAGCACAAACTGGGAGAACTGGGGGCACTGGGAGGGACTGGGACCTGTCCAGGTGTGCAGGGTGGGGCTGGAGACCCTCAGCAGGTACCAGGTGAGCACGAACTGGGGGCACTGGGAGGGACTGGGAGGGACTGGGACCAGTCCAGGTGTGCAGGGTGGGGCTGGAGACCCTCGGCAGGTACCAGGTGAGCACAAACTGGGAGAACTGGGGGCACTGGGAGGGACTGGGAGGGACTGGGACCTGTCCAGGTGTGCAGGGTGGGGCTGGAGACCCTCGGCAGGTACCAGGTGAGCACGAACTGGGAGAACTGGGGGCACTGGTAGGGACTGGGAGGGCACTGGGACCTGTCCAGGTGTGCAGGGTGGGGCTGGAGACCCTCGGCAGGTACCAGGTGAGGGGTGCTGGGGGCACTGGGAGGGGACTGGGAGGGACTGGCACCTGTCCAGGTGTGCTGTGCCCAGCCCTGGCACACAGGGTGGGGCTGGAGACCCTCGGCAGGTACCGGGATCTCAAACTGGGAGAATTGGGGGCACTAGAAGGGGTACTGGGGCCTGGTCACCTTGGGACTGGGAGATCTTGGGTGCAGCCAGGTGTGCTGGGCACCACCTGTGCCAGGTGTGCGGCCCTGGAAAACCTCCACAGGTACCAGGTGAGCACCTGGCTGGGGGCACTGGGAGGGACTGGGAGCACTGGGAGGGACTGGGAGCACTGGGAGGTGCTCTCAGGTCCAGCCAGGTGTGCTGGGCACCACCTGTGCCAGGTGTGTGGCCCTGGAGAACCTCCACAGGTACCAGGTGAGCACCTGGCTGGGGGCACTGGGAGCAGTGGGAGGGACTGGGAGGTGCTCTCAGGTCCAACCAGGTGTGCTGGGCATCACCTGTGCCAGGTGCGTGGCCCTGGAAAACCTCCACAGGTACCAGGTGAACACCTGGCTGGGGGCACTGGGAGCAGTGGGAGGGACTGGGAGGTGCTCTCAGGTCCAGCCAGGTGTGCTGGGCACCACCTGGGCCAGGTGTGTGGCCCTGGAGAACCTCCACAGGTACCAGGTGAGCACCTGGCTGGGGGCACTGGGAGCAGTGGGAGGGACTGGGAGGTGCTCTCAGGTCCAGCCAGGTGTGCTGGGCATCACCTGTGCCAGGTGCGTGGCCCTGGAAAACCTCCACAGGTACCAGGTGAACACCTGGCTGGGGGCGCAGGGGAGGGACTATCACCTGCCCAGGTGTGCCGTGCCCACGCCCCCTTTCTCCCCCTCCCCCAGGTGGGTTTCCAGACGCGTTTCGAGCGCACCTGTGCCCGCGGCGCCCACCTGGTGTTCGTGACGCTGGGGCTGCTGCTGCGGCAGGTGCAGAGCGACCCCGCCCTGGGCAGGTACCAGGTGCTGGTGGCCGACGAGGTGCACGAGCGTCACCTGCCCGGGGACCTGCTCCTGGGGGCCCTGCGGCGCCTCTTACCTGCGCGCCCCGCCCTGCGCCTGCTGCTCATGTCGGCCACCTGCGACCCCCACCTGTTCGCCAGGTACTTCGGGGGAGCCCCCGTGCTGCAGGTGCCCGGCCGGCTCCACCCCATCAAGGTGAGTCTGCCTGCCCGGCCCGGGGCTCACCTGGGCGCACAGGTGAGCTACCTGCTCTCCCCATGCTCACCTGTGCCCAAGTGATCTATTTGCTCCCCCCGTGCTCACCTGGGTGCCCCAGGTGACCTACCTGTTCATTCTCACCTGTGTGCCCCAGGTGACCTACCTGTTCATTCTCACCTGGGTGCCCCAGGTGATCTACCTGTTCATTCTCACCTGGGTGCCCCAGGTGACCTACCTGTTCATTCTCACCTGGGTGGCCCAGGTGACCTACCTGTTCATTGTCACCTGGGTGCCCCAGGTGATCTACCTGTTCATTCTCACCTGGGTGGCCCAGGTGACCTACCTGTTCATTCTCACCTGTGTGCCCCAGGTGATCTACCTGTTCATTCTCACCTGTGTGCCTCAGGTAATGTGTCTGTTCATTGTCACCTGGGTGCCCCAGGTGACCTACCTGTTCATTGTCACCTGTGTGCCCCAGGTGATCTACCTGTTCATTCTCACCTGTGTGCCCCAGGTGACCTACCTGTTCATTCTCACCTGTGTGCCCCAGGTGACCTACCTGTTCATTCTCACCTGTGTGCCTCAGGTAATGTGTCTGTTCATTGTCACCTGGGTGCCCCAGGTGATCTACCTGTTCATTCTCACCTGTGTGCCCCAGGTGACCTACCTGTTCATTCTCACCTGTGTGCCTCAGGTAATGTGTCTGTTCATTGTCACCTGGGTGCCGCAGGTGATCTACCTGTTCACTCTCACCTGCGTGCCCCAGGTGATCTACCTGCTCATCCCGGTGATCACCTGCGTGCCCTGCAGGTGATCTATCTGGCCCCTCACACCCTCACCTGTCCCCAGGTGCTGTACCAGTCCCTTTACACCCTCACCTGTCCCCCAGGTGATCTACTTGACCCCTCACACCCTCACCTGTCCACACAGGTGATCAACCTGTTTCCCCATGCTCAGGTGATCTACCAGCCCCTCACCTGTGCCCACCTGTGCTCACCTGTGCACAGGTGCTGTACCAGCCCATCCCCTCAGAGCCCAGGCAGCCTCACCTGGACACGGGGCCGTACCTGCCCCTCACTTGTGTGCGTGCTCCCCTGTGCTCACCTGTGTGCTCCCCTGTGCTCACCTGTGCCCACCTGAGCTCACCTGTGCGCAAGTACTGTACCAGCCCATCCCCTCAGAGCCCAGGCGGCCTCACCTGGACACGGGGCCGTACCTGCCCCTCACCTGTGTGCTCACCTGTGTGCTCCCCTGTCCTCACCTGTGCTCACCTGTGCTCACCTGTGCTCACCTGTGCGCAGGTGCTGTACCAGCCCATCTGTCAGAGCCCAGGCGGCCTCACCTGGACGTGGGGCCGTACCTGCCCCTCACTTGTGTGCTTACCTGTGTGCTCCCCTGTGCTCACCTGTGTGCTCACCTGTGCTCACCTGTGTGCTCACCTGTGCTCCCCTGTGCTCCCCTGTCCTCACCTGTGCTCCCCTGTGCTCACCTGTGCGCAGGTGCTGTACCAGCCCATCCCCTCCGAGCCGGGGCAGCCTCACCTGGACACGGGGCCGTACCTGC